ATGCAATTTTGGTGCAGTCTCAGCATTAGCCACGTCCTGGAAGATTGATAAAGTCTGGGAAGAGAGAGGAAAGTACAAAGTACAAGCGATCAAAGGAAACCTGACCCCGCTGCGCTGCGGGATCGCTGCGGACACACGCGGATGTTCCTCCCCTTTGCAAACAACAGCCAGGACACAACAACAGCTGGGAAAAGTCAAATTGTCCCCAGGGACCGCAGGGGTGGCAGCTCCGGGGAGCCCAGCCCGGCTCCTCCAGCCCAGGACACTCGAGAGGGACAGAGTGACACTGTCCCCATTCCTCACACCCCAATCCCACACCTCGGGACTCACAGCCCCCACCCCAGTCCGAGCTGGTTTTATTTTTTAACCTCGCCACAGAATCCAGCTTTTCTTGGTCCCATCCTCACTTAGAGAACACTGAGCTGACGATGCCCAAGGAAGGATTCCCAGCCTTCCAGGTAAAGCAGCATTTTCTGGTTTCATTCGGTCTCAGTTTTGTACATTTACAAATAGGAAAAGCTTAAAAACCCCACCCAGCTCTGTCCTTACCCAAAATCTGGCTTAAAAGGCTCAGGGTGGTAAAGTGACTCCACTGTGGATAAAGCTACAATAGAAAAATGCACTGGTAAGGCCCTCTTAAGGCAAGGAGAGAATTCCTGCTCATGATTCTCACACATGAAATAAAAAGTGGTAGCCCCTTATAATTCATCTTTTTTGGCCACTTAATGTATTCACTACAACGACATACACTCAAGTCACATCTGGATTTATGAGCAGGCCACATCTGGATTAGCAGAGGAGTGCAAGGACATTTTCCTTGCTCGGTGCCACTCTGGGTGCCAGGGATCAGCCCTGCCCTGCCCAGGGCTGCTCAGCACATTCATCTCAATTAGCTGAAAACCACTTTTCAGCCCTAATTAATGTGACAGTGACAAACTTTGTGTTCCAGCAGCCAGCGAGGAAGGAACCGCTGCCACCAGGAACTTTCCAAGGCCAAGGGTTCCTGGACTGAGTTATTTAAACAGGCCCTTGACAGGAATTCCAGCCAATCACCCTGACACAAGGACAAATTCAGCATTTCCTCTCCCAAAGCAAACTCAGTGATGCCTGATAAATGAAAAAGTGCTTGGAATGGCAGGGATAGAACTGTAACAAATTTATCACAAATCCTGTTAAAACTTGGGTGTAGGGAGGGGAAAGCCCACTCATTTCCACACGCTGGGAGGCTTTTATAGATATGTATCTCTATTTTAAGGGAATGGGAATCAGAGCATAGGAAATAAAGCTGATTTTGAGATTAGTTTTAGGCACTTGAGCTGCAGAGATGTGGAAGGTGCTTGTCAGGTGCATTTACCATTCACACACCTACACAATGCTCAGCAGAGCAGCTACTCAGCCTCTCAAAAAGAAAAAAAATATTAAAAAAATGAAGCTGTTCACATTCCCCAAGTTTATTTTCCACCTCTCACAATTTAAGACCTGTATTATTCCCATCATATTCCAGAGATGATTTACCAAACTGATCATCTTCTAAACCCAAAGAAACATCTGAAGCATCAGATTATTGAAACATGACCAGGCTTTTTTGCTACTAAAATTCTATTTTGCAGCATTACTTCAATAACCATTTTTAAGGCCCCTCCCTTTTCCTAAGAATGAACTTCAAGGAGAACAAAGGCAAAGCTTGAGCTGGAAGGAAGGCAGCAGAACCCCGAGGGTGAAACAACAGCATCACACACCAAGGTCATGGCTCAGGGTAAGACAATCCCTGCCCAACAATCCCCAAGTGGGAGCAGCACTGGTGCAAAGTTCCCTGGCTTTTCTATGGACAGAGCTGGGAGAAAAATGGGAATTGCCCTCCAGGGAAAAGAAAAAAAAGCTGTCAACAAGGAGCACATACACAAAACACAAAGGGGTCGAGAGATCAAAAGTTTGGCTGCTCTCCTCAGTGACTAAATTTAAAACATTTCTAAGTTCACACACGTGCACTTCAAAGCACCATCACGGCAAATATTCCAGGTGAGAGTTTGGAAATGATCACAGAGTCTGGAATTGATCAAGGCATTCATTCCAGGTGAGAGTTTGGAATTGATCAGAGTCTGGAATTGATCACAGAGTCTGGAATTGATCAAGGCATTCATCCCAGGTGAAGAGTTTGGAATTTGTAAGAGTCTGGAATTGATCACAGCAACTATTCCAGGTGAATTTGGAAATGATCACAGAGTCTGGGATTCATCAGAGTCTGGAATTAATCATGCCAATCATTCCAGGTGAGAGTCTGGAAATGATCACAGAGTCTACAATTAATCATGCCAATCATTCCAGGTGAGAGTCTGGAATTGATCAGAGTCTGGAATTGATCACAGAGTCTACAATTAATCATGGCAATCATTCCAGGTGAGAGTTTGGAATCGATCAGTCTGGAATTGATCACAGCAACTATTCCAGGTGAGAGTTTGGCAATGATCACAGAGTCTGGAACTGATCCCACAACTACTCTGGGTCAGTCTGGAATTGTCACCTCTGCTGACAAACCCCACCGTGCCCACAGACCGAAAAGCAGCATTTAAACCCCAAAAGCCCTGGACAACACCACAACGTGTCAGGAAACACCAGCCACCACTGAAGTCTGGCTACATTTGCCCTCAAAAATACAAAATACACAGAAAGCTCACAGTGACCCATGACATGTTTGCAGTCAGGTTAACACTGGGTTGTTCAGTGACCAACACATAAAAAACAATTAATGTTTGCATTCTGAAGCCCTCAGGGCACAGAAAACCCTGTCTGACAGCCAGTCCTGAGGTGTGCAGTCACTCCCAGCCCTGCTGGGCTCTGTGGTCACTGGGGAAACCAAGACAAGGTGAAAACCTCAGAGGCCACAGCAAGGGGAAGCGGCACAGGGAGGGAAAGAGTAAAACCATCTTAAATGATGTGTAAACACAGAGTATCTGCTCGCAACACAACTCACACCTGCAGCAACCAGCACACCTGCATCACCTGACAGAGAGCTCCTACAAATGCACAAGCAAGCAGCAGAAATCCCAACACTGCTCCACCATGAGCAGCAACAGCAGCTCCTTTTCTGACCAACCAGCCCCCAGCTCACCCAGCCTGTGTGGATCCAGCCCAGGCAACACATAAGACTCAAAAACCAAACACTTGGGTTTAGAAGCAAGTCTGCTTTTTCTTTTTTTTTTTTTTTAGACTAGAAAATGTACAATTCCATTTCATATGCAAGTGTGCACAGAGCTCGTTGCTTGTAGATACTGTCAGAGAAACTGAGAGTCTTTGCATTAAATTGTTAATTCTTCAAACATTGATACATTTTGCAATACACCAGTTAAATACCAAGATCTATGTGCATGCACTAGAGATATATGCATGTACACCTTAATGTTTAACAAAGACAGCAGATCCCCCAGGCAGGGAGCGTTGGAGATACCAAAAATAGATTAAAAAGTTAAATTCTTTACCTGCCTTTGTTAAATACAGACTTTGAGATTGCCTCCCCTCCTTTCCCCAGGATTTCTGTGCTCCCAGGGAGGCAGGTGGGCAGGAAGGCAGGAGCTGACCAGATTATCCCAGAACCAAAGAGAAGCACCTTAAAAAGTTCAAACTAAGCTTTAAAATGCCTTTTCCATCCATACCAGACATGGGGGCCGAGAAAGGGAAGAACATTTTAAACACAGTTTTGTTTCATTTTGCTGTACTCCCAATGCATCTCCCACAGAAGAGTCTGACATTTCCAACCATCCACTGCCTTCCCAACTGCCTGGATCCCCTCAAGTGGGAATTCTGACCCCTTGTGCCTGGGACAGCCATCCCAGCAGGTGCTACAGCAGGGAAAGGTGATCCCAGTGGTCTCCCACTGCCTGGGGAGAACATTCCCATGCAAGGGAGTTCTGCTTTCAGCAAGTTCTGCCCTGGAACTCGTGTTGGAACTTTTTCAAGTAGTGTCATCTGCTTTGTCCCCATCCAGTCCCCTCCACTGCATATTGATACATCTGCACATTTCAATATCTGCACGTTTTATGTAGCAAAGAGAGCTTTTCCTCTGAAAAACGTTTCATTAGAGTCTGACTTGTATGATTACAGTGACACTTTCAAATATAATTTTGTGCCTCTTCTTTGGTTAAGAAAAAAAAGATGCTTTTCCCTTTTTGACAGCTAAAGGTATTTCTGCCAGACCTGAATCAACCAGCAGAGCAGAGGAGGAGAGCAGTGGGCAGGACCTGCAGCATCACCCAAAATCCATTTCATTTAAAACCATTTGGCAAATTTGTTCTGATTGCCAACCCTGGAATTCGAAGCTCAATCCATGTGCCTCAATCCATTCCAGCCTCCTCCCTAATCAAAAAAAAAAAAAACCATGAGGGAAAAACAAGCAATGGGCTGCAGAGAGAGTTTGTTTCCCGGGTTGTGGAGAGCCGTGGTGTGATTGATGTTACAGCCCTAGGGACACAGAGGGACAGGACGGGTGACACGGGGCGTGTCACACATCAACACTACTGCCAACGTACTGATTCAGCTTGACACTGGTCTGAGCAGATTGCAATTAACCTAGGATTGAGGTATAAATATACACAAATATGTACAGTACACATACAGGAGAAGAGTTTTGCATTTGTAACATGGGTAACCTTAGCAATACTGGAGAGCCGATACCTACACCAGGGATTCGCTCGCTGATTTTACTGGAATAATGAAGCCAACAACTTCCACTAGAGAGGGCTACAATGGCATCATAAAACTCGAAATTAAAAGCTCCTTCCTCTTGCTTCGTCCTCCCCACGCCCAAGGCCGGACTGTTCCGAGGGGCAGCTTGAAAAGAAGGTTGGTCACAGCTTTGAAGGCGTCCTCGAGGAACCCGAACCAAACCGGAGCCCAAAGTGCTCCTCTGCTCCTGTGCCTGCTCCCAATTCCTGTCCTTGTGTGTGTTTGTGTGTCTGTGTCTGTGTGTGTGTGTGTGTGTGCAGCTATGTAGAAAATACAGTTGCCATCAGTTCAGTATAAATACATCCACCCCACCAATCTGCCACTGGAACAGCTCTGCTGCAGCAATGTCTGTGCAAAGAGGTCATTAAAAATCATCTGATCTTCAGGCGGGACATCATCCACTCCAGTCCTTGGCACAGCCTGGGAACACACGAGAGAAGGTTCAGGGAATGCAGCCACTTCTCAGGATTAACTCCAAATTAACTCCACAGCATCAAGTTAAATTCTTCCCAAAAACTCTAAATAAGTTCTGGAAACTCTTCACTCCCTGCACGGCACCTCCTAGATCTTACTGTATCATCTCTGGCGACAGAATTCAGATCCCAGCTCTTCAAGACATCAAATGCTCTCTAATTAGGATTATTCCTAATAAACCAGATTTCAGTTTGCCCCCACCTCACCCCACCCTCATTAGGCCCAAATCAAATCAAGTCTTATTATCTCTGTGAGGTGACACTGTGGGTTTGAGATAGAAGTTGAGTGTTCTAAGCCCAAAAATCTTTTTAAGTTTTAAGATTCTGAAGCAGTGAGGGCCTGGCACAGGGTGCCCAGAGCAGCTGTGGCCACCCCTGGATCTCTGGAAATGTCCCAGGCCAGGCTGGATGGGGCTTGGAGCAGCCTGGGACAGTGGGAGGTGTCCCTGCCACGGCAGGGGTGGGATGTGAGGGTTTTAAGGTCCTTTCCAACCCAAACCATTCTGGGATTGTGTCACTGTTATAGACAGGGGAAGAATGTGTGTTAAAACCAAATACCACAAAAAAAACCCCCGAGGAATCCCCATGGACATGAATCCCTCTTACCCCTCTCCAGTGAGAGCACAGCAGGCCTGGATGTGCCACTGGTGATCCTTAATTGAAGTCAGCTTCAGGAACTGGGAGATCTCAGCTACTGTCATGCACTCCTTGACATCCTGCTTGTTAGCAAAGATCAGCAATCCTGCTTTCTTCAAGTCCTGGGGACAAAGGAGAGGAGCTAATGACAGAGCAGCCCTTGGAGGCAAAGGCTGGGACACCACAGCAGGGAACTCAGAGCCCCAGGCACAAATCCTCCAGAACAAAGTGCTGCAGGCTGGCAGGAACTGCAGCAAATCCTCTCATCCAGCCAATTCTTACCTTGGATGAGGAGTAAAAAACTCAGGATAAGGTTTTGCTGTGCTCCACGAGGAGCAGAGCCCTGTGTGTGCCCCTGTACCTGAACAGCAATGACAGTTTGGGAACAGTGACTCCAGGGATGAGCTTACTTTACCTCAAATTGCTTGGAATTGCATCGGGGCAGGGGTGTATTATTGAAAATCTTTCCCTTGCAAAGCAAAAAGGTGTTCCCAGGAAGCTCAGGCACTCAGCTGCTTATCAGGCACACTCCTGTGTACAAGCAGCAAAATTAATTCCCAATTAATCAACTGCTCCAAAAAATAGCTGGGACTGGGCTGGACAACTCAATTTTGCCTTAACAGCAACTCCATGGAAGCAGTTAGGAGAAAGAAAATATTTTCAAGGAGCAAAGAAGAGCGATTTTAAATCAATATTTGAGTTTCATGGCTGCTCTCTCCCAACGTCACAGGCACAGGAGAGGGAGCTTGGGAACATCCTGCTGGCCAACAAAGGGCACATTCACTGCCAGGTGCCTCCCAAATCAGCTCCATTCTGCCTGGAATTCCACACCTTCCCTGGGGCAAAAGCAGCTCCTTAATAACTTCATCTTCCTTTAGAGATTAGGAAACAGAAGATGCAGGTTTTTGCAACAGCCTGAAGAGTGCAGCTCTGAAATCCTAATCCTGGACAGCAGCACTGAACCTCCCTGTGCCACGTTTAACACTCCACAGCCAGACCTGCTCAATCAGAATTTACTTTATTAAACATCATTTTAATGAAATATCAAAAATTAAACAAAAAAAAAAGAAAATTCAAACTTGAAAGATCCTATGCAAAGCCCTTGTTTTTCCTCAAAGGAAATCCACAGTGCCCTTGCTGCAGGCTCTCAAACTGTGGCTATAGGTTAAATATAGATGGAATATTTTAGGCTAGAATGCCATCGTTTTTTATGCACATTTTTTTATTCTGACACTTAAATTTGGAAGCTCGGTGTCAGCTCACACACCCTGATCCAGTTTGCATTCAGGTCATGCCACAGGTGCTGCCTGGCTTTTACATCAGCCCAGCTCAGGTTTAGACCTGACCCAGGACTAAGGTTTAAGAAGGGTTTTTACAATTCAGCAATTTCCACTCTGAAATTCCAAATACCCACAGAGCAGAGGCTGCTACAGCCACGGGCTGAAGTTCCTTCATTTAGAGCTGGGTGCTCTAACACACATTGTAAAGCTTGTAAAACCTCAGGCAGCCATGAAGATATCAAAAATAATGATTAAATGACTGCAGGAAACCATAGGGTGTAAAAAGCTCTAATTCAGATATTAACATGGATTGAAGTATTAAACCCACAGATGTCCCTGACAGGTCCCAACTGCTGTTTCACTGACAGGCCATTCTGTAATTTAGTATTAATTAACAGCTTCACTGCGAGTTTCACAGAAGACAGTGCAAAGGGACAAGGCAGTTCAGGGTGTAAATCTGCTTCCCTTGGTGTGTATCAGCCAGATAATTCTAATAAATATTAAAATAAATATTAAAAGAAGTATTAAAATAAATATTAAAGACACAGGGTGCACTCACCTCGTGTGCTAACATTTTATACAGCTCTTCTTTAGTCACAGAAATTCTCTCTCTGTCTGTGCTGTCCACCACAACTATCACAAACTGCAAAAAGGGAGAGTTATTAAGCAGGGAAACTCTTGCTGTTCCCATTCCCCATTATCCAGCTGGATCCATCCCTGCTCCCAAAGCCTCCCTGCAGCCCCAGCAATCCCACAGGCCTGGGGTTATTCAGTTTGTGCTGTGCTTTGGGTACAAAGGCAGCTCTGACACAACTTTCTGTTCTCCATTTCTCAGTGAAAAAAATCATATTGAAATCAAGAAAATTCTCTGTGATCCCAGACCTGGTTTTGTTCTTTGCTTGGTGTAACTGAGGCACCACACAGATCCCTTAAATAATTTGTCACAGCCATTAAAACAAAATGCATCAGCTTTCTTTGTCTAGGTCAAGAACTAACATGCAAATAGATATTTGCACAGGATTCAAAAAGTCCTGAAGCTTCAAACTCCAAGAACACACTCCCAGCTTCATTTAGGCTGGAAAAGAACTTTAAGGAATCACAGCACCTCATAGGGATGAACTGGAGAACAAAGTAATCATTGTGATAATTGTATTTAACCAGACAAAACTTAATTGATATAATACAAATAATTGTATTTAAACTGTACTTGGTGACACATAGGAAACCTTGATTTAAAGCATTGTTTTTATGAAGTTGTGTGCTTGATACAACTTATATATGCATACACACACATATATATATTTTATTTTTTAAATATATATATTTTATATACATATGTGTGTGTGTGCACTGCAACTGCACCTCTGAAGAGCTCTGAAAACCCTCGGGGGTGACGACAGGAGCTGGTGAGCCAGAGCTGCCAAGGTTTAGGAGGAAAGCTCTGGGGCTGCCAGGCAGGTTCTGGAGGAGCCCCCGCAGACAGAGTGAGCGGGGTGACACCGAGGGGGGGATGTGCTGTGCCAGGGGGGTCAGCCAGGCTGGCCCACGGTGGCCAGGGTGACAAAGGGCAGCGCAGAGGCCCGGCAGGGGCGCTGCGGGCTCGCACCTCGGTGTTGGTGTAGTAGGTGTTCCAGGAGGAGCGCAGGGACTCCTGGCCCCCGATGTCCCACATCAGGAAGCGCGTGTTGTTCACCACGATCTCCTCCACGTTGCTGCCGATGGTGGGAGAGGTGTGAACCACCTCGTTCATGGAGCTGCGCAGGGAACAGGCAACGCACAAAGTGACCCACGGAACCGAACCTGAGGGGGATTCCCACTGAAAGAACCTCAGCGAACACTCCCTGGGCAGCCAAGGTTTGATGGTGGAAAGTGCAGAAATGTAAATAAAAACAGCAATAAAAAGGACTCGGAGAATTATGTAATAATCAAATTACAGAGCTGAGAGACCACTCGTGAACAAAATGTGTTATAATTAATTAAATCATGGAGCTGACAGAATTTTTGCTGCAGAAGTTTTTGGGAGCACTCAGCTCTTTTTTCTCCAGGCCCATTTTGGCTCACATGGGACAGAGCAGTTGTTTTGTTTCAAGAATGTGGTTAAGCCACAAGATTTCCAAGGTTTCAGAAAAACAAAAACTCATCTTCCAGCTCCACCAGAAACATTTCACCCACTCCATCGTGCTCTCCTTCCAGAGCAGGCCACTAAAACCAGATTTTCTTCACAGTGCTTTATGTCCTAACTTCCTCCTCTTCTCCCCTCAGCACAGTACAATACACAACTTTTTGGAGATAAATGCAGCCATTAAATATTTCAAATACATTGTTTATAGATATTGAGTGTGACTTGGTCACTAGGAACACCAGTTTCACATCAAACAGCCAAATGTGTGCTCTGGATTCTCCTAAAGTTCAGACTATTTAAACTCTATTGTAACAGGCACAAAAATTAACAGTAGCTCCAAGGCAAACCATCTGTGTTCAAAAGAACTTAATTATTTTTTCTTCTGATCATCTTGATATAGCTTTTCATTTTGTATGAACCTTTTTGAAGTTCCAGCAGAGCTTTTAGTTACAGTGACAGCAATTTGAGACTTGTAATGGTGCTGGAATATTTCCTGAAGAGGACACAGAGAGCCAAGGAGATAAAGGGATGGTGCAGTGCTCTGAAAAACAATCCCAGTTACCCTGGGCCAGTGCAAGGAGAGCTGAGCATGAGACTGGGAGAAAAGGAAGTGTCGGCAAGAGGAAAAATGGGATCTGCAAAGATGGGGTAGGGTCAAGGAGGACTAAGGCAGGAGAAAAAGAGAGCTGGGAAAGTCCTGGGCAGTTCAAGTGGGTACAAAGAAAAAGGAGACACAGAGACCTGTGTGATGAGAGGGAAAAGAAAACACTGAAACTGCAGAAATAAGGGGAAGTACTGCGAGACATTTGTGGAGGAAGTGGATTAAAAAACACCAGGGATGGCCCTTGCCTGCAGCAGTTCCCAGTATTAAGAAATACCCTTAATTCTGTTTGTGCTTTGTAACATCTCTCACTCTCCCTGTAAATCACCATCACCCTTCCACTCTCCCTGCAGCGTGGCAGGGCACGAGCAGCCAGAAAAGTTTTGGAAAAGGCAAAGCAGGTCAGAACATGACAAACCCCAACCACTTCCAGAAAGCCAATGTGAAATGTGGGGTTGGAGCAGCGTGGCCACATCATTTAACAGGAATGGTTTCTGACTCAGGAGCACTCCTGAGTGCCACAGCACTGCACGTGGGAAAGGGCCAATCTGTCCCCAACACAAACAGACCTTGAGCTGCTTGTGCCACCCAGCAGCCTCTGAGCCTGTGCACAAATTGGTATCCTCTTATCAAACTGCAGCTGAGGAGTGAGATATGAAGCTCAATCGAGCTCCATGTACACCAGGAGCAAGGTGAATGCAAGGCAAACACAAATCAATGCTGCTGTTGAAGGCAGAAGGTGCAGGACAGCACGGAGATGCTGTCCTGGGTTTGTGCTGCTCTCAGCCTTCCTCCTCCATCCCAGCCCACGAACAACACCAAATTCACCTCAGCACTGGGGACAGGAGGCACAGGCAGAGGTGCTTTGCCTCTCACAGAATGATCTGTCTGCTCTCTCAATCTGTGGCGTGGATCAGTTTTGAAACACTCACTACAATCGTATTTTATGGGGCTGGCAAAGAGCCGAGGCTGTGACAGCAGTAACAGCAGGTGATGTGACCCAAAACCCTGTGAACAAAACCTCATTCATGCAGCAGGCACAGCAGAGCCCTTTCCAAACTCCAGCCACCCACTGCCACCCGGAAAGCTGAGAGTAAAAACCACCCAGGGCCACGTAACACACCTGGAAACGTCCCCACAGCTCCTACTTACAATTGGTACAGAATGGTCGTTTTCCCTGCATTGTCCAGGCCCACAATGATCACTTTGTGCTCTGCAATGGAAACAGCACTGGTTAAGTCACAGCTGCTGGGTCTGCATCAAGGTTAGTGCCACGTTTGCCACTGGTTTCCTGAGCCAGCTGTGCCCAGCTCCAGGTGCCGTGGCCAGGTGTGTTTGTGTGGGCAGGTGCTGCTCTGGCAATTCCTCCCTGTCCACGGGAACCATTCCTGAGAGATTTCAGAAGGATGTTTTCCATCTCTGACTGCCAGTGTCATGCTGGGATGCTCTCCCAAGCTCCTGCAGGGTTCTGCAGCCTGTATCAAACTCCATCCCCCCAGCCCAAGAACTCTCAACTCTACTTTCCCTTCATGCAGGCAGTATCCTGATGTCTTTGCAAAGAACAGGTCAAACCCCAACCAGGCTGGTTTGTGATCCCTGTGCCCCCAGTGCCCTCCTTTCCTCCTGGGGAACAGATGTACCCTCAGACATTTCACAAGACACATTCAGCCACTCTGTTCTTGGACAAGTCACCAGGTGCTCCACAGCCCACCTCTGACACTTTGGAGCTCAGTGTCCCAATCAATTCTTGCTTCCCTTCAGCACCTCCTCTCCTGTGCATCACAGAAGCGACTGGGAACTCTACAGCTGGTGCTGTCAAGCACATCCAAATTTATGATTTCCAGTTTGGGTGAGCACAGCCAGCTCTCAGCTGTGTTACACAACTTTCACTTGCACAACCAAGCAGGGCCAGTCAAGTAAAAATTTGGTGAGAAGGGGGTTTCTCCGCTCCTTCCCCGTCTTCCTCAAAGCCATTAAAAACATGCCCAAACTTCAGACCTTGATATCAATCCCTGCCAGCAAACTACACTCACACTGATTTATCCCAGAGGAGAGGGAGGGGACAGGGGTCAGGTAAGTGGGGGTTCCTGGGGTTTGATTTTATCAATATTGTGTGGTTTTGCAGAGCTGTCTTTTCTGCCATCCAATACAAATTCCAGCTTTAATAACTTTGCATAACAGCACAATATTGTAAAAGTGTCTGCTTACCTGACCCCCCATAACTAGGAACTTTTGTTTCAGGTGGGATCCTGCCAGCATAGTGGATGTTAGGAAATCAGTTGGAACAGAAGGTCTGAGGTGGGGCTGGGTACTACAAGACAAAAATATTTTGTTGTATTTTGCACTATGTGTTAACGGGGACATAACTGGGACATTCAACGAGCAGGTGTGAGAGTCCTGAGGTTCACTCAAAATCAAATTCTAAGGACTTTAGAAACATGGAAAGAGCATCAGCAGGTGTTTTATAGTTAAAGTTACAACTCTCATGAACACCTTGCTGTAAGGAGGCAGGAGTTAAAAATCCCGGAACGGTTTGGGTTGGAAGAGAAATTAAGGAGCATCCAGTGCCACCCCCCTGCCATGGGCAGGGACACCTTCCACTATCCCAGAGTGCTCCAACCTGGCCTGGGACACTTCAGGGACCCAGGGGCAGCCACAACTGAAGCTATAAATAACATTTACTCCATGAACGAGCCAGATACCGAGGTTTGCCACTTAAACCCACACTCTGCCGGCAGCAGGACGAACCCACCCGCCCCGCCGCGCTCCTCCGGCACACGTTAATAATTTAACAGGCGGCTGTCAGGAAACGAGCATTCCAATAATTGAAAGAAGGGGGGCAAAAAATGGTTAAAGCCCCGACTTCCAGGAGCCGTCCCGGAGCGGGTGTGGGTCCCTCCCGGAGCGCCCCCGGTCCCCCTGGGCCTCACCCTGGTGGTTGAAGAGCCTCCATATCCTGGTGAAGAGGATCCCCATCCTCGGCCGGGCGCTCCGGGCCTGGCCGGCCGCGGCTCTGCGGGGCCGCGGGCACTCAGGGCCCGGCGCAGCGCCCCGAGTGCCGGCTGGGGCCGCGCCGGAGCCGCTGCCGCTCGGACATCGCCGCGGGGTCGGGACGGGACTGGGGATGGCGGTGAGGAGCGGGAGCGGGACGGCAGCAGCGGCGAAAGGAGCGGAGCAGCGCCCGCGGCCGCCTCACGGACGGGCCGGGCCGAGCCGGGCCGGGCGCGCTGCGCTGACGCGCGGGGGCGGCACCGCGGCCGCCATTACACGGCACCGCCTCAGAGCTCTGGGGCCCGCGCAAACAGCGAGGGCTGCGGTGTGGGGGAGTCCGGAGCTTCACAGAGACACCGAGGGCTGCGGTGTGGGGGAGTCCCGTACCCCGCAGAGATACCGAGGGCTGCGGTGCGAGGGAACCCCGAGCCTCACAGAGCCCCGCAGAGATACCGAGGGTTGTGGTGTGAGCGACCCCCGAGCCCCGCACAGACACCAAGGGTTGCGGTGTGAGGGAGCTCCGAGCCCCGCAGACACCGAGGGCTGCGGTGTGAGGGAGCTCCGAGCCCCGCAG